TCGTCCTCCAGATCGACGGTCAGCTCCGGGGACCCTATCTTGGGCGGATAGCCATTCCACCGTAGTGGCAGACGAGCATCCGCATACCGCACGAAGAAGAACCGATTCTTCCAGTCATGGATGGAGCTCGGTGCTCCGTTGAACAGCCTCCGTCTCGGACGAGCTGCAATGCTCAGGAAACCGTCAGAATTTTGGGGGGTGAGCCGGTAGAAGTAATGGAACAAGTCCAAAGTGGCGGTGATCCCATTGTCCTTGCAACGGACTAGGAAGGCGGAGACGGACCGATAGGGATTCGGCATGAGCTGTGCGGGGGCTATCTGGTAACAACAAAAGAATTCCACGAAGAACGGATGAAGAGGGAAGCGCAGCCCAGCCTCGATGGAGTCCAGAAGCACCATAACCATTCCTGGGCGTCTCCTCATCACGTGGGTTGCGCCACGAAGGCTGTATACGGACGGAGGGGGGAAGAACACCTTCAGTTTGTTGAGGGCCACCTGCGAGAAGATCTGCTCGTGGCAGAGGACGTTCTTGATTGGGCATAGATGCCTCTCCACATCTATCTTTAGCCCAAGTTCAAATACCTCGATGTCAGAGCCATCCTGCGCCTCGACCCCGGAGTCATACCCGTCCGGACGACCGTCCTCGCTAACGGACTCCTGCTCCCCGCCTTCAGCCACGGGGTCCACCACATCGAGAGCCATACTGTTTTGCTCCCCCGAATCAGCACCCTCCTCACCAGGGACAGTCGCAACAACACCAGTTTGGGCTTCCCCGGCCTGAACAGTTCCCACGGTGGGGGCCGAGCCAGAACTACCGGAAGTGCTAGTTTCCCCCGAAGAGCGTGAGCCGGAGTCGGAAGTGGAGCCCGAGGAGGAACCCGATGAGCCCGAGCCAGAACTTGACGAGATCTCCATCGAAACCATCGCGGCAAGAATTCAAGACAAGAAAAAGAAGCAGAAGATGAAAGTTACCTTAGAGGGATTAGCCGAGCTACGAAGCAGGAGAAGACTTGAAGAGCTGCGGAAATTCGAAGACAAGAGAGCAGAAATTGGGAACCCTAATCCAGAGGGGAAAACCGGCATTTATAGGAGAAACACCGGTGGGGGAGCCAACGGGAGGCTGACGCGTGGCAAGGAGCGTATTCCGGCTCACGCGCCGTGCGTGGGGCGAAAGCGTAATGATGACATCTCCTCGGAAAATGCACCGCCGCTACAGCAGCCGTCACCTCGTTTCCTGAACCGTCGACAGCTGTTAAGCACCATGACCACGAGCGTACGCTTCCACCGGATGCGATAAACACAAGTATCAAGACACGAACGTCTACTTTGAGGAGATTCATACTTCCTTATGTCCTGCGCATGCTCAGAACATCAGAAGTGGGGGACTTGTGTTGGGTTAAGGGCCCAAGCCGGGGTCCGGCCCACTAACCCTTCCTTCACCAGACGTACGTCCAGTCAGACCACAGGGCCAGCCCGCAGGCCCATATTCCTTGGGGAGGGACGAACGTCTGAGGTTGGGAGTTCAGGCCCAGCGGCCCATCCCGACGAACGTCTATGCAGGGACAAGGAGCAGGACCACGGGCTACCAGGGGATGACGACGAACGTCCCCATGGCAAGCCTATAGTCATCCGAGGAAATCCAGTCCGCATGGAGAGAATCCACAAGGCCAGGAGACGAACAGCCGAAACCCCTTGGGGATCACTTGGAGCGATCCAGCTCGCTTCCCAGGCGGACGAACGTCCCCATTATTTAGGCGGGAAACCTAGATCCTGGCGGGAAGTGCATTTAATGCTGAAGATTTGGTGGTTGGGACACAAGCGGTCCACAGGCCTCCACGTCAGCATAGCCACCTGCCCATTGGCGGGTATAAATAGAAGCATTTATTTCATTGTAAAGGGTTGGCAACTTTCTATTCTTAGCACTCTAGCTATAGCATTCTTACTCGCAACACTTCTACTGCCTTGTAAGACGAACGGCCGACGGAGCCTTAGCAAAAAGTATTGTATTAGGGAGTTATTAAGAGATAATAATACCTAATCATTTACTTGCTACCTTACTGCTTTTCTAATCCATATCATCTGCTTGTTGGGCTAGTCCAACCACACACACTCCATTCGAAATCCTTGGGCTTACGTGTTGGACCCGGGGATTGAAGGAATAAACCTCAACAGTTTGAAATACTCTCAATCTTTCCAACATTCTCTTAGTTGGAGGGCTTAATTGATTTTTTCGCTATACTACGAGGGCTTATTTGACAGTTTTCCCTTTACTTTATATGTGCATAGAAAAAATTATTGTCTCTGCGTTTCTATTTTGTCCGTGTGTTGTTGAAACATCATCTTTCATTGTTTATATTGTCTGTGCACGATTAAAACATTGTCTGTTGTTCGTTTATTTTGTCTGCGCATAGTTAATAATTGTTGTCTGGGTGTTCATGTATTTTTTCCGTGCGTGACAACATTGTCTGTGTTTTCATAATTTCATAAAAGGGAAGCAAACATAAGAAGTAGTAGTACAAATCCATAAATCTCATCCATTTTCTCCAAATCTAATAATAGATACATTTTAGGGTAAAGAGGCAAATAAGCCCTTGAACTAATAAAAAAAGTGCAAATAAGCCTTTTGTAGGATGTTATGTCCGATCATCGTCATTTGGGGAGGTTCTCAGTGGAATTTTTTGATGATTTTTTTTGAGCATCTTCTTCATTAAGTGTAGTTTAGCCATACCGAATTTCAACTAAAAATTCAACCGGGAAGGCACTCAAATGATTTTCGGAAATATACTGTGTTGTTTAACTGCGCAGTTATCTTCAAAAATTCATTTGACTGTCTTCCCGGTTGAATTTTTAGCTGAAATTCAGTAGGACTAAACTAGACTTAATGAATAAGATGCTCAAAACATTTCATCAAAAAATTCCACTGTGAACCTCCCCAAATGACGATGACCGGACGGAACGTCCTACAAAAGGGCTTATTTGCACTTTTTTGATTAGTTTGAGGGCTTATTTGCCCCTTTTCCCTACATTTTATGTAAATTACTTATAACAAGTCACCAACATGATTATAAGATTAACAATTTAGTTTTTCATTTGAAATTGAAGATACAATTGCATAACATATGTGTCATTAAAACTGAGTAAAATGATAAGATGAGATAAAAAGATGAGGAAAATTCACTCCACAACTTCAAATGATTTCATCTTCCCATATCTCATTACATTGCATTACTCGAATATCTCACACTGCATCAACATACTTGATATCCACATCTAAGAGGTAACCTTTTCTCTGGCATCAAATAATAGCAATGCATCAGCTTTTGTTGTTCCTTTGGGGTACAAATTCAAAAGATTTTAAAGAATAATAATTAAGCAAAGTACACATAAGGCACTTACAATTAAATTAATTTTTTTGAAGCAGTAGAGGAAAAGCAACAACTTCCGATTACAACATATTTTTTCCTAGTCAAAAATACCAGAACAAGAATGCTAAAGAACCCCATACTAAGATATTAAAGGCTAGAAGGTGAGCTATTTAACATAATCATGAGCTTTAACCAAAGACATAAACATGGAGTCAATAGCCTTCAAAATAAGTTATTTACGTGAACTGTGGCAGCAAAAGCATTCTCTTGCTTTCCTGTTAATTACTAAGACATGAAGTATTTGCATTTTATTATTAACTCTGTATCGTATCACTGCCATTGTTCAAAGAACTTGGGAGACTCCCAGATAAAGATTTCATAACTTAGCACCAGAATAAAGTAATCAATCCATGTCTCTTGTTAAACATGATATCAGTACAAACAAAATTCAGTATTGAATAATGAATGTCAAGATCAAAAAATGTTTTCAAACAATGGAAACATACATGAAGTTCCTAGTTTTAATCAACTAAAGCTCTTTAGTAAAGGAAATCATCCGAATATGCATTTTATTCCTCTGAATTGTAATGTATATAGAGATAGTCATGTAAACACAATGTCAATTTATCTCAATTTAGAAGTTTTAATTAATTGAAGCTCTTTAGTAAAGGAAATCATCCAAATATGCATTTAATTCCTCTGAATTGTAATGTATATAGAGATAGTCATGTAAACACAATGTCATTTTATCTCAATTGAAGTTTTCTTCTACTTGGAGGCCAGAGTTAACGTACTAAGAAGCCAAGAGAAATAAACATTGTCACCTAATTACTAAATTCTCTACACATTCTAGAAATAAACAGATTGCATATTACATATTTGCAACCAACACAAAACCTAACACACAAATTAACTTGAGTAGTCAGTCTTTTATCATTCCAAACATGGATTCAAATTCTAATTCTAATTACTAATGATTTCTAATTGTAGTCCTAATTGTTTTCATTACTAAGCCATTCATAATGAAAGAATGTCGAGTGGAATGAAATAATAAATTCGTGCTTCCAATATTCATTTCAACCTCTTAATGAACACCTTATGGGCAAGAAACTAGAATATAATGTTTGGGTTATAATCTAAATAAGCAACACCACAAAGTCCAAAAAAGCAAGCAACTATTTCAATAAACAACTTCACAAACATATTCTAAGCACAGGAGTATGATTTCAAACTGAAGAAAATTTAGTAAGCAATGTGCTTCACATTACCGACAAACTAGGATGACTATTTGCAAATCAAAACAGAAAAAGGGATCTAAAAACCGGTTTCAATTGAAAACATACCTTCAAATTTGTCAATGAAGATGGCGCACCTCAGGGCAGTTGCTTCCTGGTGTCTAGCTTTGCTTCAAATGGCTATGTTCCCTTCTATTTAAATATCAATTAACTAAAAAGAGAACACGAGAAAAAAGCTATGTGGGCGAGAGGAAGAAGACTTCATGCGTTAGGGCAGAGAGGAAAGTGAGAGATTGGGGGTGGAGTGAGAGACGGGTAAAACATACTCCGTAAAAGAGGAAGGGTAAAAATAGGTCTATATATGCCGTGTACACGGGCCGGTAACCCTCCGTGTACACGAAGCGTTTTTCATATATGTAGTCTTAAAACATACACAAATCATTTAATTGTGTTATCATCATTATCTTCATCATCATCATTACAAGTATATCATAATCTTACAAAGAAAATACTTAATTCTGGACCGTTATTCACATCGGGACTTATCATATACAATGTTTCTGAGTCCTTGGACCCCACAGTCCGATCAAAATGTGCCCTAACGTACGCGATCTCACCGTCTGGTCCATCCACATCTGGTTTCCCTGGCAAAACTCCAGCACCCATTGAAACAAACTTCAATGACTCCATAATGCCTAAATCCTCCTTTGTTGCCTCACGTTTCTTCCCGTACCCCAATTTTTTCCCATTACAAAACATTGTCCAAACCGGTTCTTCTAGAAGTTTCAACATCTTCGTATCCTTATCTGTCGCCCGCTTCTCGCATTCCATTGCTATCCTTACCATCCCATTGCTCATTTCCTTCTGTAACGCATAAGTCTGCATCGCCATCTCGACCACCAACATTGGCAATGTCCCGGGGCTTTCTTGTATAGAGAGGCTAACACGTCCCCTTTTGTACCCGAAGAGTGTCCCCGTCACGCGTGATCCTCCTCCACCACGGCTTCCATCGAGGAATCTTGCACCATAGGGTATCGACGGGAACTTGCACACGGGGTGGGTGATGATTGGGAATGATCGGAAAACAGAACGCATTACACGGATGACCTTTTCTGGCCTACCTTTTCGTTTAGTGACAGACGGCTCAAGGAGGGAAGATGATGGTGGGGGGGGAGAAGGTATATGATTTGAAGGTGATGATGATAGGCTTGCGGTGCTCAGCCGGCTTGGCTCTTCCGTTGCTGGTTCTCCCATTATTGTGTTTTTATGGCTTCAAATAATTACACCCAACAAGAGGAGAGCGCCATATGAGGCACAGAGAAAGAGAAGGGAGATCAAATTATATTTGAGATTAATAATTAAGGTTTATTTGATCTGGGCTATATATATCCCTCTCTATCACACACACACATACATGCAAATGTTTAAAATAAAAGAGTATGTGAAACATAAAAGATTGTACACATCATATGTATCATGTATATATAAATTTACTATATCCCCAATCCTCATATGTATGTTTTCACACACATTTTATGTAAGCGTTGATGTGTTTCCATTAAAAATTGGTGCCATTTTCAAATAAAGTGGTGCATTTTTATCTTGTCTTTTTTTAAAAAAATATTTACAAAAATACCACCATATATTTATGCTCTAAAATTGATCCAATGCTTTTTATTTACTAATAAACATTAAAAGAAAAGTTAGGAAGGGCTAATTAGTAAAGAATATGTTTATTAGTCACGTTTTTATAAGTTAAAAAATGTAACTTTTTGTTCGTTATGATTGTTGGGATTTGTTGCTACATCATCATTAAAAATATTGTTATTTTATTCACATTTTAGAATTTTAAGACTAACATATTAATAAAATTTTGGGGCATTATATTTTTAAGTTTTACTAATAAAGGGTCGAGTAATCACCAAGAAATTCGAGTAATTGGTCCCAATAGTTACTTGGCCTCGATCAAGTTGCCACCAAGTACACATTTAGCTACATAGTTAGTTTGATCGACATTTTTTCCTGACATAATTTTAGGAAAGAATGACCATCGTATTACTTTTAGAGTTTAAATTTACAAAAACACGACCAAAATTCGTGTGGACAAAAAAAACTGACTAAAAAGGAATGAATGGACTGAAATGTCCCTCGCCCCTAATTGAGTAGCTAGCGTACGACATTTCTCACGCTCAACATTCCTCTCTCCTGCTTGACTGCTTCAACCATAGTATCGACGGCACCACTAGCGGCATCCACCATTTGCAACTAGAGGAGGAAGATTGTGTCCACCGCCCTCGCCGCCCCTGGCCTCCTCAACGCCGTCAACCATGGTCTCTTCATCGCTTGCACTGCGTCTTTGACAACATCAATGCCTCCCTCACTCATTTTCTTCTTATCTTGCTCTTCCTCTCTGTTACTTGTATGATTGAGTTAGTGTGGTGGGGTCACTGTTGCAGTGTCACTGTCACCGAAGTATTCGTGCAACTATGGTCAGAGTAATTGTGTCATTGTGACTGAAGTAACCTGTAACCGTGTGTGACTATAGCCAGACTAACTTGTAATCGTGTCACTATGGTCGGAGTAATCGTATCACAATTCAATGGCTGAGCCACTATGTCACTGTACAGATGTAACTATTACCGCAAGGATGTAATTATAATGTTAGTCACATTTTTGGAAATTATAAAAAGGTCCCTTTTTTGCCCATTGTTCACTTTTGTAATATTCGGGTAAAACCCCGTAATTTTAGAGACAAAAATAATCGATGAGTTTTATTCCAAAAAGTGTGAAGTTATAATCTCAATTTTTTAAAAAGTTATAAAAGTTAAAAGTGTTAGTTCAAATTGAACGGAGATAGACACGTTCTAACGATTCAAACAATTAAGAGGTGACATTTACTGTTAGAGATATTTTCATGTATTGTGATCAATGTTTTATCTAGCCTTTGTAGTAGTAGCTAGAATATTTAATTAGGTCTTTTTTTGGTAAAGGCATGCTTGCCTAAATAGGAATGGGCCTCCTAAAAGTTGGAGCCCAATCATTTGTTAACCTACCATTCTCCAAGGCTATAAATATGCCCCCTTTGGAGAATGAGTAGGTTAAGCTTTCCCCCCTCAGAAATATTCCCTGCGCATAGAATAGAGCCTACGGAAGTTTTACGCTAACATTCTTCACCATCTTTGTGTAAACTTCACCTGCGCAAAACTTGCAGGTGCGTGTCGTGCGCGATTTGAGTTCGTTGCGCGATCATTCAATTGACGACTAGGTGTTGTGCAAAAGTACTCCTTGCGCGATCCGGGTGCTCTGTTGCGCGATTCTTTACTTGCGCAAACTTAGTACCACCTCGGGAGCAAATTTAATTTTAAAAAAAAATACAAAGGAAGGAGAGGCAAAATTGTCTTTTGTGACCTGCGGAATTTTGCGACTATCGTGTCCGCAGGTCGCCCGCGCAGGGGGGTGCGAATTTTTCGTTTTTGAACTACAAGCCGAAATCCCATGTGCGCGAGAGCTCCTCTCTTTTCCTTCACCATTTAATCTTAAGGAAGGAGTGCTCCATATAAATAGGCTCAAAAGTTTCCAAAGAGTTTAGGTGTGGGATAAGTTAACTAGCTTACTTTTCCCTTCACTTGGACAAGTACGTTTTTTCCCAAAACCCACTTCAAGTGCTAATTTTTAGTTCCTCTTCAAACCTTGAGGTCAAACTCCAAAACCAAAGCTCAACACTTTTTCAAAACTTCAAATAGTCAACCTTGAGATTAAAAAAAAAATAATAATTAATTAAAATTAAAAAAAAAATCTCAAGGTTAAGACTAAATTTTCTCAAAATCAAAGCTACATTTCAAGAGTCACAAACTTGCAGAAAACTTCAATCAACCACATGTCAACGATCAATTTTCAACAGTCAATCATGACCACTCCCACTATTGCTGATAAAGTGACTGTCCTCTCTGCTCAAAACAAGAATGCAGACATCACTGTAAGTACTCCTAACCCTTTTAATTCTGCTTGCTCTAAAACATATATGCATGATAAATTTAAGGAGCTAGAGGAGAAATACAATAGATTGTATGATGTCTATAATCAACTGCGTGAAAAACAGACATGCTCAAACATCAAAATAATCAATTCAGAGAAAACTGTCACTAAGCTCACAATAGAGAACAAAAGACTTAGTGCTAGCGAAAAGGAACTGACAGAGAAACTTAGAACTGCTGAGAAAGAGAGAATTAGACTTTTTGGTGTCAATAATTTACTAATGGAAAGAAGGGGTGCTCTTTACACCAAAATCAAAGAACTTGAAGACCTGTTAGCCAAGAGAGACCAAACAGACCAGACTATTTTCCTTAATCAGGCTAAGGACACTCGTTTCTATAACGCCAAGGAGGGCCTAGGATTGACCAATCCTCAGAACCTGAAAAAGGTCAACTGTAAACAACTCTATGATGTTAGATACATGAAAATAGGATTGACCAAGCTTATGGCCTTCACTGGTGCTGAAGAAACGAATGCCCTCGAGGATGAAAAGAGAAAAATAAAGGCTGGTGTCGAGGTTCCTTTTGACTACACAGAGTTGAACAAGAGTTACAAAACCAAAGCGCTCCCGCTGACTCCTGCGGAAGAAGTTATAACTTATCCTCCTGAAAAGGAAATTGTGCAAGATGAGGAGGAACCTTCAACTTTGGAACCTGTAGCCAAACCAGCATACATTCCACCTCTTGTTAAAAAGTTCGCTGAGTTAAAAGAATCCTTTGAAAAGGAGAAACAGGTTTTAGAAAATGAAAAAGATCAACTTTTGAAAGAGATATACATGTTAAAGACATCCTCTCAGTCCATCACAGTTTCTCAACCCTCTTCCCTTTCTTCCTCAGGAAATTGTTTAAAAAATCCAACCAACAGTTCTAAAACTTCTTCCACTCACTCTGAGTCTCCTTCTCCGAAAAGGAACCAAGTGAATAAGAGAGTAAAGAAGAGAGGTGAGTGGATCGAGGAGAAGTTGAGAAGAAGGAAAAGAGAAGAAGAGTCTCATCTAGGAAATAAGAATCAGCGTTCGAGTGCCTTGTTTTATGCTAAGAATAAGTCTAGATCTGGCATTAGTGAGCTTTCAACTAGTAGTACTAGAAGTGGTGTTCCTAGGAATTTCCTAAGCAAACCCTCGACTAGTAATGCTAAAAGAGTGGCTCCTAAATTTTCTAGTTCTAAGACATCTGTTAAGAAACGTTGCTCCAGTACCTGTTCTCTGAATTGTGTTAAGTCAATGAAAGCTTGTTGTTTTGAGTCTGATTCCTCATCAAACAAAGACAAGAATGTGAACGTTCAGAGATGCCCAAAGAAATCAACTTCTGTGAAAGTGAACGTTGAGGGGGAGTACAAATTACCATGTTTAAGGTATCCCCTCAAGGTTCGCTCACTTAAACATTTGAGAAGGCTCTCTCAGGAAACAATTTTAAAAGATTATTTGTCTGAACATTCACTCACTATTAATGAAACCTCTCTCGCTCCAAAGTTCAAACAACAATGGGTTCCTAAGGCCGAAGCTGAGAAATTAAGAATGCCAAACACTTCTCAATCAGCTGGCCTAGGGTCCCAAATAAAAAAAAAACTGAAACATCTCTTTGACATTGATAAGGAAGGACCCATCTGGAGGTGGGTACCAAAACGCACTTAATCTGTTTTGCAGGTCCGTCATGTGTGGTACCTGATTCGATTGCTCCACACACATGGCGGGTGAGAAGAGCTGTGAGCAATCAATTGGTGCACATTTTTAAGGGGAGTATTGGCATGTATACTACCCCACTGAGCAAAAAAAAATCAACAAATGCACACCTCAACACCAACACATGCCAAGAAGAAACAACAAGTGCTTATTCTGAGGGGGAGTTTTTCGTTTTCATTCCTCCTGGTGCCTTACAACGAAGAAAGCACATATCAAGGGGGAGTTTTCTACTTTACTCCCGGGTGACAAACAACACCTTGCACATTCTGAGGGGGAGTTACATTTTTCTCCTCCTGACGCCAATCAAGGATCAATGCAAGACAACCCAAGGATGTTATGATAGAACTAGTACCAATCAGAACCGTCTACAGGATCCAGAACTTGTACCCATCAAGGAGAACAACTCGAAGTTGGAACCAAAGGTCTTATCCTGCCATGATGATGTCGTGGTGGCTGTTTTGACAAGGCGCAAAATTTAGAAGCCACTGAACAAAAACTACCGAAGCACCAGAGGTGTATCTCTAACCATTATGGGGAACACTCAACTAAGCAATGGATGCCTCTGGTGCGAGAATTCTAAAAGCCACCATTGACGACACCAAGGTGACCAACACAAAAGAGTTCATACATCAAGTGCTCCAAACTCAAGAATTGATAATGGGACGGTGTTAAAAAACAAGGAGCTGACCGAGTTCTACGAAGATCGGGGAATTACACAACAGTTCTTTGCAGCTAAAACACCACAGCAAAACGGTGTTGTAGAACGATGGAACAAGATCTTGGTGGAAGCAGCCAGAACCATACTGATACAGTCAAAGCTTCCTCATTTCATGTGGGTTGAAGCTATCAACACGGCTTGCTTCACAAAGAACTGGATGGTGATTCACAGACGATTTGACAAGACACGCGATGAGATTGTGTTCAAGCAACTCCCTGACATTGCCTTCTTCCGTGTCTTTGACTACAAGTGCTACATTATGAATGATAGGGATGCTAGGGGGAAGCTTGATCCGAAAGCTACTGAAGACGAAGAGGCTCAATCATCTTGTGAAGTAGGAGGACAGGGAGACGAGACAAGATCGGATGAACACGTGGTACTAAATTCTCTGTTCGAGCACTTTTACAGTCAACCACGTGCATCACCAGCTACAACCGCTACAAATTCTCAGACCTTCCTGTTATATGCTCCCACCGCAGAGAAAACACTCACTCCCACTCAGAATGATGATGATGAGCACACAGATGACGAAGCAGAATATGAACCATCTACCCTGCATAATGATCATCCTGAAGCAATTGCAACACAATAAACCCCAGAGACACAACAAGATCGAGAATACACTGATCCAGATCATCCAGTCATAACTCCACTACCTCTATAACATGAGAGAAAGTGGACGAGGGCACATCTGCCAGAACTAATAATTGGTGATCCATCAAAAGGAATCAGTACCAGAACTGCTTCAGCCAATGAGTGCTTATATTCATATTTCCTGAGTCAGAAAAAATCAACAAATATGACTGAAGCATTGGCTGATCCGGATTGGGTGATTACGATGCATGAAGAAATGAACCAGTTTGAGAAATTGAAAGTGTGGACCCTGGTGCCTAGGCCTTACAAGATCATCTCCCAGGTCAAGTCCAGAAGACAACCCCGACCGTGGAGGACTCTAATGGCAACTCTGAAGAAGTGTTTCACTGCCGAGCACACTGGCTTCGACTAGTGCAACATCTGCCTTTTGACCATCTTAGACGGTGTGGCAATCTGCAAGAACTACGACTACGTCTTGCTGATCTGGGATGACATCACATAGCTGATATGGAAAAGAAAGGAAACAAACCAAGTCGAACATCTACCATATATGAGATGGTTCTCTATGCTCGTGCGACGCTTCTACAGAACAACTCCAACTATCCACAGAAGACTATCCACTGAGAACGTCAGCACCCCATCCCTCAAGTGCCTCCACAAAGTTACCAAGGATCCCACACTGGTACCCTTCACCATACCAGTGCCTCTATTGCAGCTAGCTAATCCGAATGATCCATCTGACTGACGCTACTAGTAGAGGAACAACATCATACTCCCTATGGCTCAGATAAACCCCCCTGAGCCTACCCCGGGGAGTCAGCCGAGAGTAAGTGAGGGTCCTGAGAGTTCAACCCGGCCACAGAGACCAGTGGCAAGCCGGCCCCATGATGATCAGACTATGTCTGCTGAGGGCCACACCCGTGCTGAAGAGACTACCTATGATTCGCCAAGCGTAGCCACAACACAAGACGCTGACGATGAGGGCTCTGGGAGCAAGGCTGGAGAGAACGACGATGATGATGATGATGAGGATGACGACAATGCCAAGGCAAAGGGCAAGAAAGTCGGGAAAGCCCCCACTAAGAAAGGACGACTCATTATCAGGCTTTCTCGGGCTACAACACAGGAGCAGTCTCACCAAATCAAGGACACTCAAGGAAATATCATCAGTGAGACTCGCTCCAAGGTACGTAATGACAACCCCTCCTCATCATCTACTCATGTGCAAAGAGTGCAAACAGCAAGCAACTTGGCTGAAGAACTAGCCCTATATGACAGTTGCTCTGACCTAGACACTATAAACCGGGCTAACCCCTTAGGAGCAGAACTGATATTTTCAGTTTCCGGGTAGAAGACGCAGCATCTAGCCCAACTGCGCATGCACAAGCCTCACCTAACCACTCTGTTGCCTCCCAACAGGTAGTAGTTTCACAAATAGGGGATCTTATACCCACCTCTCTGCCCCCTTACGGAGCAGTTGAGGACATACATAGTGGTCTCACTACAAAAATAGTAGTGATTAGGCACCATCTTTGTCACTCAATATATAAAAAACGGGTGAGAAAATATATTAGTCACCACTTTAGTCACTAATAGTAGGTAGTGCCAAATTCCCGGTGCCAAATTATTTGTCACTTAATTATGTTGGTGAATAACTTACTCACTCAAATATTGGTGTCAAAATGGGTGACAAATTTCATACCCGATACCCCTGCGGTCACCGGATGGTACGCGCATTCCAAACATTATCACCACGATAGTCACTAAATTAATGGAGTGAGTATATTTTTTAATTCAATTATTAAATAATATTGATGAAAAATGAAAATAATATTTAATTAATTACTAATAATTACTAATTTTAAATAATTAGTCATTATTTAAATAATTCTTTAATTACTAATTTTAAACTAATATTAATGTTTCATGATGAAAATGGAAATTACATTTAATTAATTAAAAATCTGAATCACCTAAATATAAATTAATATAATATGGCGAACATGTAGATTCAAATTAAACATATACTAAAAACAATTAATCGTTTAACATGTAGAGATACACGAATTAAAGACAATGTCTACGTGCAAAAACCAAGAAATTCAAAGACAACACATCCTAGAGAAATACAAGTGCTAAAAATTAATTTCCAAAAGGTGTATTCAAGGACGAGCCAAAATTCATCATATCAGTAAAACTCATAGCGCCGTTTGTGAAGGGTTGGCCTTGTGATGTCATTTGTGAGAATGGAAATTGTTGGAATGGAGTTGTGGAAGTATTCGGAGCTAGAGTTTGTGTCAGAGCAACTTGATTTGCCATAGGAAACCCGGGACTATATAAGTTCAAAGAGTTACGATATTCGACAAAACGAGCAACCCATCTCCTATCGACTTCTTCAATGGTAGCTTGTACTGCGGTTTGAACTTGGCCTTTTAGTAACTCTTGAATATTAGTAGTGAGTGCAGCTTTGACACGTTGATCAACTAGCTCTTGTAGATCTTCAGAATGCATTGGAGTAGTAGTGTTGCCACGTTTATTTTGAACATCTTTTGATAGACTCCCTAGGCCGAATATCTTACCACATGTGGCAGACCCAAATTCCTCTAGAAAGATTTCATCTTCATTTATGGGCTGTGAATGATCACTCACTTGCTCCCTTACTTTTTGTCTTGCAGCTATAAAATTTTCCTGACACCAAACAACATGCAACAAATTATCAAACCAATTATTACCAATGCTGCACATACAATATTCATAGCTCTGTAAATGAGTATGAATGGCAAACAACTCGTATAGTTCCTTGTAATTATTTTACTTGTAGCTAAAATAAAATATTAAGTATCTATTAATTATCTTACATAGCACATCTTTAGCCTCGGGCCACTCCACTCACGGGTTTTCTTCTTCTTCCATGTCACAGCATACAGCTCCCTCATGAGAATCTTCCTACCAAGTATTTTTCTCTTTGGAAAATAAAGTTAGTAATGGAAACAAATCCAAGCTTGTATGTAGCACTTAAATAACAAGGAAATTACCAATTTCTTCTTATGATCATAGGTAGTGATTGATCCTCCACAGTATGGATTGTTTCTGCACAATTCAGAAGATCGAGCTTTTTTCCCTTTAGCACTAAGTTTCTTGAACTCCGGAGAAGCCCAATATGTTTGAAGATCTTTCCAATCGTTCTCAGCAATGTATTCTGGGCATTTACTAGCATCTCTTGCATCTTGTAACATCTTCTTAAGGCCTTGACTACCATACTTGTCAAAGTATTCTCTGAACTGTTTTTTTGCTGAGTCGGGAAATAGATGAGACACCTGCAAATACATAATCACTTCAAATTATGTAGCCTACTAACTAAGAGACTAATAAGATCACAATAATTAATTGAGTTCATAATTAATAAATTTACCCTGAATTCATCAAACCAATGATCTCTTTCGGCTATAGGCACTTTTCGGTAAGACCTCCATGGTCCATTAAAACTAGATCTCATGATTTGCTTGATTTCGCTATGAGTCTTTCGACTTTTTAATGGTAAAAACGAAGAGAAAAATGATGTGTTAAAAATAAGTGACTCAAATAATAGTGTTAACTATATGATTATATAGTGACATATGAAGCATAAACTAACCTGTGCATGTCAGATAATGAGAAAGGCAAGAGATTTGTTTTGGCAGACTGTTGTCCATTTGATTCGCAAGGTGATGTAGGAGTACTTGGAACTTGTGTTGTACTTTCCTCCCCACTTGAGTGGTGAGATCCATTGAGAGCACTATCTGATGAGGGTGATGATAAGTTATTCCTTCCCCTAGATTGAGAGGTATTTCGATTTGGTGCATACAAAGCACGCCCACCATTTGATGAGGGTGATGGTAAGTTATTCCTTCCTTTAGATTGAGAGGCATGTCGATTTGGTGCATACAAAGCACGTCCACCACGTGTCCGCATGTCCTGTTTGAAAGAGTTATCTTAATTACAAATATATTAACACGATTAAATCAAAATATCTTAAGTATATACTTAATGAGACAGTACGGGGTTTAATATAATCCATTTGTATCAACTCTCTTACCTAATATACCTAAGCTATCACAATTTAAGAAAAAATTTAGGAACCATTTTTTTTTAGAACATCATTGCCAAATCAGGGACCATTTTTCTATATGACTAAATGTAGTGTTCGATTTTGATTTTTTAATGTGATAAGAGATTAGAGGCCCATGCATGTCCTGACTTTCAAATTTTTTCAATTTCAAAGCACAAGTATAGAAGACAATCTTAATTAACCTGAAGAGGAAGCATGAGAAAGTGGTTGTGCTGCAACTGCCAAGTAGATGAGTTATATGCATCAACTGAAAATGAAGTTAAAAAAATGGCCCATGGAATCATATGGATGGTATTTTCTGCCAGTTTTGTCCTTGCTTTGACTTTTAATATATTTTGTTCTTGCTAAAGCCTCTATTATAATGGATTGAGAAGTTATACTCATTGGTGGTTCCATTATAGCTTCACATCTTGAAATTCCCTTTTTCATTGAGAGGAAAAAACATTTGAATCTTAGGCATGAATGTGCCAATTGGTTTGTTAGGACTGAAAAATTTTCATGGATTAATTTGATAGGACGAACTTAGTTCCCTGACTTCCATGGCTCTCTCTCTAAGTAGCTATCTCACAACTTAGTGGCAACTTGATCAAGCACCGAGTAGTGAGTAGGACCAGTTCATGGGAATTACTCTAAATTACAAATATATATGCCACAAAGTTCATATATAAATCAAAACATATAATCTCAATAATTAAGTTGAAGCATAGATAATTAAGATTGACCAATGTTATCTTATTTTCTTTTGAGCCTATCATTGGCCTGAGCAGTTACACCCATATTAGACACCCACAAGAACTTATTACTGGCAAATTAGTTTCTTTAAAAGAAACCTGACATTATATTAGCCACCAACCAGAATATACAAACGGAAAAGGCTTGATGCCAAAGTACAAACTACAAACAGAAAAAGCAATACAACAAACTATGGCCAAAGCAAATATAATCATTACTACAGCAGTAAACTAAATGCCGTAGCCCGCACCACTAATTGATTACCTTTAAACATTCTTCTACGGTTATGAATAAAGTTACTTATGTATATAGTTACTTCCAATTAGTTGTATAATAATTATATAAAACAGTAAAACTCAAAATCCTATTTTTCTAGTAATAAGTCAAAGAAGAAGAAGAATTGAAGAAACAGATGACTAAGTGAAGAACTCTCTGAGAGGGAATACAATCCCACTTTACCAATTTCCACTTCTTCAATTTTTTGGGCTAAGTGAATTGGTAAAACTTTTAACCTAAGGAGCAGAGACGGGAGAAGGCAGTACCCAGGGGCTCAGCTTGGTCTCCCTCTACCCAATCTAATTACAAATTGAATTCTATAGATAAAAGAGTAGCAGTAAAACTAACCTTCACTTAGTCACGACGTCATAACTCCCACGAATGCCCAGGCGGCCGGCGCACAACCCTGCAGCAGCTCTTCAAAGCGTTCGGCTATCGGCGGAATATAATTTCACCGTCTTTAATTTAGCACGTAGGTTCTTCAAAGCGGCGCACAACTCTGTTTTTCTTTGTTTGGCGGTAGGGTATAGAATTGTTGGGGCAAAATTTTAGGACGTAGTGGAAAGCATGGGCACATGAGATATGGTTGTATTTTAGTGGGATAATGATTTGGAGGGAGTGTTTTTTTTTGGCAAAATTTGGAGGGAGTGCTGAAATCTCAAATACGTGAGAGAGTTTATTTAAGGGAATTTGATTTTAATTGCTATTTTATCCTTCTTATATTATAAATTAAACATGGAAAATGGAAAGATTATATACATTTGAAAAGACCGAGTGCTAGTTTTTTTATTGATTCAATAAACAAACAAAATTTATTATTTTACATACCGATTATGTGAGTTTTTATGTATTTACGTGTTGCTCCTTTCGTTCCAAATTGAGTTGCAAAATTGTTTTTTTACTTCAATTATAGTCATTTTATTCACTTAATTAGAATATCAATTTTTAATTAAATTTTAATTTGGATTTTGCAATTTGTAGAAATTCTAATGTAGAGCCCGTTTTGTAGCACGAAAATCGGCTGATTTGGCTGATTCTACTGACATTTATGAAGTTCTGGCTGAAGTGGCTGCATTGGTTGATTCTGCTGACTGTGAAAAAATTATTTTTAAAATATATTTTATTAATAAAATACAGAAAAAATTATATGTGAAAATAGCTAAAATGATCATCTACAATAACTTCAGCCAATACAGCCAGAAAAGCAACTTCAACCTTACTTTTTCTGCTTAATACACAATTCAGCGCGCGAAAGCAAAAATAACGTGTTTGGTGAAAAAGTTGGCTGATAAGCCTGGTAATGTGAGTTTTCTCGCACTTAAAATAGATCGTAATATAGTGGTGTAAGTACGAGTATCGTCTCCACAGGGACGGACAAAAGGGAATCAAGAATTAATTAAATTCAGCGATTAAAAATAAATAAAATAAAAGCGTTGTGCGAGATATGATTGGTTTGGAAAATAAAACTAATGCGAACAATTAAACTAGGGGGTTCTTTCTAATTAATGACGAAGGGAACAGGGATCGATTCCGAGGTAACCAGATTTCTGGCAGATCAGGCCTAATTACATGAAATTAATTTAATTGAGCCTAGCTAATCATTACTAAGTTCTTACTGCTCTCGCGGCGTAGAGTACAATAATTTAGGGGACCAGGCTGATCTCTCATGCGACAAGATCCTAAATTATTGCCAAGACAAGCGAGCTTACGGCCCCTTAATCGCTACTAATCTCTTAGCGAATGATTAAGTGTGTGTGAATGTGTACTAGAACAAATTAGATCTCTTTTAATTTATTCTACATGCAATTGTAATTCTAGTCGCGATTCTAGGTTACAAAAGATATCAATTAAATTATTCAAACACAAATTAAACGGCATTCATGCAATTAAACCGAAAAGAATCTATCCATACATCATGATTAACCCCTTCATCAATCTCAAATCCCTAATTAAAACTACTCACAATTCATAATTGAAGAATCAATAGAATTGGAATAAAAAGAATTAATTGTCATTAATTAAAAAGGTGGAACTTACAAAGAATCCCAAAACATTGATGAACAAGGCTGAAAAGCCCTCTAAAATTCGTGCTAGGCACTCTCTCTAAGCTCCCCCCCGAAAACGGAGGTTTACAGGCTGTTTAAATAGAAAAATCGGGTGAAATTTAAGCTGAATTAGGATTTTCGGAGCCAGGCACGATGCCAGGCCGATCGTGCCTTCGATCGTGCCTCCGGAGCAAAAACGCGCATTTTGGGCAGGCACGATCGTGCCTCCCTCCAGGCACGATCGTGCCTGGCTGGCAGTAACTCCGCGATGCTTTCTCTTCATGCACGATCGTGCCTGACTTTGAGGGCACGAAATAGTGGTTCCAAACGGCATCGTAGTTTCTGAATAAGTAAATTTTAATTATTAAAATTGAACTAATTATTAATAAGCTAAGGAAGCCAAGTATCTTGTGGTCTGATGGCATCACTGTGGCAGTATGGCACTCCCAAGGAGGAGGTCACAGGTTCGAATTCCATCCCAGTTCAAGGATGTTGGCATTAACATTGAACATATACTATATAAGTTAGAAAGAATTGTCCAAAAAAAAAGATAAAGAAGATTTAACTTTAACATTGATTGACCAAAAAAAGTTTACATTTCAAAACAATTCGGGGACAACTCCTAAAACCCTTCATCTTCAACTTCTACGTCCACATCTTCACTTTCATCAGAATTCTGACCTTCATCCTCATCAGAATTATCTTGACCGGAATTTGTAGGCTCAATGGCATCCTCAGGATCTACATGCAACTCAATGCCATTGGGATCACGCAAAGGAGGCATTGCGTTAATTGGCTCAATTTGAGGCAACACATCTGACCCATCTGTTTGATATGCAAATTCATCTTCTTTTACACTTGCAATCAATGTCCTTTTCGCAGTTGTTTTGCAAGCACATAACCAATCGCTTCTTTTTCTCATAGATGGATAACTTGCATAGTAAACTTGAGCAGCCTGTTGTGCTAGAATAAATGGCTCGTTCACTTTGTACTTGTACTTGAAATTAACATCCACTATGTTGTACTTGTCATGTTTTCTCACTCCTCTAATAGGATCAATCCATGAACATTTAAATAAGACAACGTGTAATCCAAGTGGGCCAGGATAGTCGAGTTGGATAATTTCCTCAAGAGAGCCATACCAATCAGTATCAGAATTGGCGTAATTAGAAGAGCGAACACACACACCACTATTGTATGTTGCTTTATTCAATCCCCTTTCAACAGTATGATAATTATAGCCATTAGTGAAATACATAGGCCAAGTAGTTGCACGAGATTTTGGGCCCCAAGCGAGAGAAGATAAAAGTGGATCACTAATACCATTATCAGAAGAATGTACCTAAAACAAAATATATGTATATTTCATTAGCAAGTGACAACCAAGGAACAATATATCAAATGGGTACTTCAACTTACAAGATCTTTGAACCATTGTGCGAATTGAGAAGATATCAATTTATCGAGTTCAATCTCATCCTGGTCTTGAAAGTTTTCAATAAATTGCCTATTCGTGATATTTCAAGTTAGTCCTCTTGAAGAATAAAATATTAAAAGGAAAATTAAAAAGTTGTTATAATTTTTTTTACCTTAAATATGGATCAACTTCAGGGCAGTTCACTAATACATAGGTTTGAGCGATTTGTAACTCCTCACCAACAACATATCGATGATGCTCTTTTCCAGATCCTCGACCAGGATAGTTAAAAACTGAAAAAGCTCCCTTTGACGTTGTACCCCCACCATCGTCATTTCGCCCAACACGCCGCCGTTTGCAACTGACATGACTCTCAAAGTAGTATGATGCAAATGTGGAAATCTCCTCTGTTATATAGGCCTGACAAATAGATGCTTCGATGTGTGCTTTATTTTTCACCTTTTTCTTCAGCTCTCGAAGGAATCTACAATGCAAAATACACACTATATATGTTAGTTTGCACAAAAGGTTTTAATATATATACACTTTTCAATAAAATTTAATAAATACCTTTCAAAAACGTACATCCATCTGTATTGTGCTGTACCGGCAACCTTTGCTTCATATGCCAAGTGAATAATGAGGTGTTCCATATGATCAAAAAATGCAGGGGGGAAAATCTTTTCCATATTGCACATAAGTATAGGTACACTCTTTTCAAGATCTTGTATAGTTGTAGTGTCAAGAACAACTGAACATAGTGTCTGGAATAACATGCTAATCTCGGTAAGGCAACCCCAAACATGAGGCGGGAGCATCTCTCTGAATGCTATAGGTATAAGCCTTTGCATGAACACATGACAATCATGACTCTTCATATGCATTAAGCGTGACTCATCAAAGTTCACACATCTTTTTAAGTTTGACATGTATCCATCTGGAAACTGTAGGGACGTAATCCATTCCAAAATGCATTTGGCTTGCGCATGAGTAACCGTGTACACTGATTTATTTATAGGCCCCACAGAATCACTTTGAACCTCAATGTCCGGACGACTACAATACAAAGCAACATCTTTTCTTGACACCAAACCATCTTTTGTTTTACCCTTCACACCCATCACGGTATTAAAAATATTATCGAAAATGTTCTTCTCAGTATGCATCAAATCCAAGTTATGCCTTATAAGTAGGTTTTTCCAATATGGAAGCTCCCAAAAAATGCTTTGTTTAGTCCACTTATGTTCTACTCCATACCCACTTGGTTTTTCATTTGGCTCTTCTATTGCCGACGGAATGGATCTGACACGCTCCCAAAGTTCGCTTCCATTCAGACGAGGTGGTGGTGCACTTCTCTCTATCTTTCCTTTTAAAAAGGACTTTTTATCCCTTCGATAAGAGTGGTTAAGAGGCAAGAACTTTCTATGACAGTCAAAGTGACATGGCTTCCTACTATACTTTAGATAAAATGCACTCGTATTCTCCATGCATATAGGGCAACTCATTATCCCAGCCGTACTCCACCCAGAAAGCATACCATACGCAGGAAAGTCACTAATCGTCCATAGAACAGAAGCATGCAACCTAAATAATTCATTACGCGCGACGTCAAAAGTAACAACTCCAGTGTCCCACAACATCTTCAATTCATCAATTAATGGTTGCATGTAAACATCTATTTTCTTTTTAGGGTTATTTGGTCCAGGAATTATCAGCGTTAGAAACATATATGGACTTTTCATGCACATACCTGGTGGGAGATTGTAAGGAGTCAATATAACTGGCCAACATGAATAATTTTTACCATATTGTCCATGGGGTGCAAATCCATCAGTACATAACCCTAAACGAACATTGCGTGCCTCTTTAGCGAATGTAGGATATGTGGTATCGAAATGCTTCCATGCCGGTGAATCTGATGGATGACACATCATGCCTTCTTGTGACTCGTGGTTCTTATGCCACGTCATTTCACTCGCAGTAACAACAGAAGCATATAGTCTTTGTAACCTTGGCGCAAGTGGCAAATATCGAAGCGTGGTTACAGCTGTCAACTTTCGTGTTCCACGATCGCCTATACCTTTTTGGTTCTTGTATCTTTCTTCTCCACAAAACTTGCAATTGTGCAAGTTCTCATCGTCTTTCCAAAACAGCATACATCCTGATC